TACCCCTTCTTGCGCTTCTTCATCCTTATCGTCCCGCTCCAACTTTACTTATATCCCACCCATTTTCAATCCCCCAATTCTCGGCCCTCCCCCAGCTTTCTTCAGTAGTCGCTTGTCTTCTAATTTCAAATCACACACAATCCCAGGGCCTCGCTCCAATCCAGTTGACAAGTCCATGTTCAAGCAAGCGGACAACGTCAGTTCATCCGTTTCCCTTTGGAGTCCTCGCGTCTCGCTAAGACTGGCATGCTTCAACGTGCGCACTTTGCTGCAGATTGGCCAACAGGCAGCACTTGCCCGCACACTAGAGACCCTATCGATCGATATTTGCTGTTTATCAGAAACCCGCCTGCAAGATTCGAGCTCCGTACTTACCCTGAGATCCCCCACATGCGACACTGGCGGCACATTCTCATTGCGCCTGTCTGGCGATGATGCAGCTTCAAATGCCGGTCAAGCTGGCGTCGGCATTGTTTTGAGTCCCCGGGCTGAAGCTGCCCTGATCGATTGGATCCCAGTAAACAGTAGGATGTGTGCCGTTAGATTAGCTGGTTCCTTCCGTGCTACGAAGTCGCGCGGGGACAAACGGTGCCTGTTTGTCATTGCGGCTTACGCCCCTACAAACTGTAGCACCGATTCGGTAAAAGATGATTTCTATCAGCAACTTCACGAGCTCCTTCGTTACAGAAGAAGCACGGATACTGTGGTGTTGGCTGGTGATCTAAACGCCCAAGTCGGAAAGTTGTCCTCTGATGAGCTTCATCTGGGCGGCCAACATGGTGTTGGCTCGCGTAATGATAATGGTGAGCGATTGCTACATCTGTGTGAAGACACTCACCTCTTTCTCGCGAGCACTAACTTCCGACACAGCACCCGCAGAAGCGTGACTTGGCGCCCACCAGCCTCGGGCCAACCATGGACACAAATCGACCATATCGCGATCAGTTACCGCTGGAGGGGATGTGTCCGAAATTGTCGCTCAATTTGGAGCACGAGCGTGGACTCTGACCACGCACTTGTCTGTGCCGACCTCCTGGTGCGTTTCGGTGGACGTCCGCAACGTCGAGGTGAACGGATTGACACCAGCCAGCTGGCGAAGCCAGATGTTCTGAATGTATACCATAGTGCGCTGACATCTGGGCTGAGTAAGCGCGCACTAAACACCGTTGAAGATCACTGGTCGCATATTCGTCAAACGTTACTGTCCGCAGGCATGTCTTCATGTGGCAAAACAAATCGCCAAACCGGACATTGGGTCTCTACACAGTCTATGGAACTTATGGATGCTCGCCGACGTATTCCGGCTGGAAGCGAATACAATGAGGCTCGCAAAAATCTCAGGGCAAAACTACGTGCTAGCCTTAGGAAGGACCGCGAAACCTGGTGGTCTCATCGTGCCTCTGAGATGGAAACAGCCGCTGCCGTGGGTAATCATCGTAAGTTATTCCGTCTGATACGGGAAACAGGCATCAGGAGACCTGGTGTTAGCGAGACCATACGCGACGAGAGTGGGCAGCCGATCCACAGCTTGTCAAAACGCTTGGAGCGTTGGGCCGAACACTTTGCAAGGCAATTTAACCAGCCTGAGTTATCGCTTTCTTCTTCGGGCATTGAGCGCCCTTCTCCTTGGGCCGTCTCCTTGGATCCGCCCTCACGCGCAGAGGTCGAACGTGAGATCCGGCTATTGAAATTGCATAAAGCCTCAGGAGCAGATAGAATTCCCCCAGCCCTCTTCAAATTCGGGGGACCTGCTCTAGTAGATGATCTACACGAGTTGCTAGTAAGACTTTGGGAGCAGGAGACAGTCCCGACAGACTGGAACCGCTCCGTCATTGTCCCAATTTTCAAGGGAGGCTCTCGTTTGGAATGCGGCAATCATAGAGGGATCAGTCTGATTTCGATTGCCTCTAAATTGCTTGCCTCTGTCATTCTCCACAGACTGACTGGCACTCGTGAAAGCCAGATTCGTGAAGAGCAAGCCGGATTTCGTCGAGGTCGGGGCTGCATCGACCACATCTTCACATTGCGTCAAGTGTTGGAGCATCGCCATGTTTATTGGCGACTCACCGTTGTCGTGTTTCTTGACATAAAAGGTGCCTTCGATTCGGTCGATCGATGTGCCCTTTGGGGCTGTCTGTTGAGGAAAGGTGTGCCTGATAAATATGTAAACATTATCAAAGCGCTGTACGCGCATAGTTCGGACAGGGTGAGGGTTTATGGCAAACTCTCGCCACCCTTCAGTATCACCAGCGGCGTGAGACAAGGATGCCCGCTGTCACCTTTCCTCTTCAACTTCGCTATTGATGAAGTCATAGAAACAGCGTTCGCTGGACACGACCTAGATGGTGTGGAGCTACTTCCTGGTGAGCGACTTCTTGACTTGGAGTATGCGGACGATATTGCCCTAATCTGTGACAGCCTCCAAACATGCCAAAGAGCCATAGACCGATTAGCACTGGCTGTCAGTCGTTTTGGGCTATGCTTTGCTCCATCGAAATGCAAAGTACTTCTCCAAGATTGGCAGGGGCCCAACCCTGCGCTAACGCTTGGTGGTGATCTGCTAGAAGTCGTTCAGGAATTCAAGTACCTGGGCAGCTATATTAGCACCCGTGGGATTGAAGATGAGGTTACGAACCGCATAGCAAAAGCTCGAGGTGCTTTTGCCAATCTCCGCCACCTGTGGCGCAGACGCGACATTACTCTTGCCCTGAAAGGCAGAGTTTACAACGCAGCCGTCCGTTCAACTCTCCTATATGGTTGTGAAACTTGGCCCATCAGGTCGACTGACATGAAGAGACTCGTCACATTCGATCATCGCTGCCTTCGCAGCTTAACTCATGTCTGGTGGGAACACCGCGTGAGCAATGATCGTGTTCGACGTCGCGTATTTGGTGCAGGAAGAGCGAGTGAACCGCTCAGCACCATTATATCACGCACCAGGCTCCGATGGCTGGGCCATGTGTTGCGCATGCCAGCACACCGACTCCCGCGACGTGCATTGTTTACGCGTTGTGGGTGCGGTTGGAAGAAGAGGAGGGGAGGCCAAGTGATGACTTGGTCGAGAGGAATGAAAACTCTCACTTCGAAGTTGGCGTCGGTTGGTGCATCCCGACTGCCTGGCTGGGGTCCTAAGGACGGTGAACACGTTTGGTTGGACACACTTGCTGATATGGCTCGGAGCCGGCACCAGTGGCGTTTGTGTTGTGATTTCCTTTGCCCATCCCCCTCCTGTTTAGTATCCCCCTCCAATCACGATCTCACCTGTTAGGCATAATATGATTCTCTTTTTACGGCAGCCAGCTGTTAGCTCTCCGGAACGATGTCCATCCGTCACTGGGGACTCAGCGGGCTTGCCACTGTTTGTCACTTTTCCTTTTCTTTTATTTTGTATTGCGGCACAATAGCTGAGGTGTTTTCCACCTCCAGCTAACGTGTAATGATGATGATGAGCAATGCTGTTCAAAGACGATCACTCACTTAGTCTCTCTGTTGCAAGTTTAGCGTTTTTGCGTCATACAGTGCACCTATAGTATCGTAGCATTCTACGCCTTACCTTTGACTGCTTATCCGACATCCCTCCGTCTTCGTAGGTGACTGAGAGTTGAAACGCTTCACGCGCTTTGTTGATACGCGAAGCAACTTCAGTGATGTGACCACCAGAGACGATGCACCTAGCAAGACAGATGAATCGATCGACCACTCCTAACATCCGTTTGGTGTATCGCTAAGTCCAACAACGTGTCCGTCCAGTCTCGCAACACCACCTTGCACTTAGAAAGTTCCAACAACATGCCAAAGCGTGCAGCTCTACGCTTCAGCCTAATCAGTGGTGCTTGCATAGCATATTCAAGGTACATCGGTTTCTCACTTGATGACGCTTCTACTTCCATGCTTGACGTCTCTTCGTGCTTGTTCTGCCAGACTCAGCTGTGCCTACTCCGAATGTTGACCCTATGTATGCCTGCCGCCACCTAAATTACTCGCGCTGTGAAAATGTAATCATTTCTAACCGAAATTGGATGCTGCTGTCTTATTATGCCCAACAATTCTATCCTTAAACGAGTCACCACCCCATGCATGTCTGACAAGTGTGTTTTCCCAAAATTTGCACCAGTGACGCGCATGTCGAAGAAGTGCAGATCGGCTTTGAATCAATAATGTCTCCCGGTTTTATTCTTTCGTGTTTGCTCTGCCTGTGAGGTGTGAGACGCAAGCGACCCGCAGTCTCATTTAGGGCCCAGGTATTCTCTGACTGTTTGCAGTCACAGTGCCGAGAAGATCAAAAGATCATCGTCACCAGATACCATTCTACGTAGTTCTTATTACGAATAACGAGGAAAAAACCATGTCTGGCAATCTTTAGGGCATGGCGGTATGGTCTTCGTTCAGCAAACAGCTGCCGCTCGCAAGCTGGAATGATGTACAGGAACAACTCGTTAAACGATGAACAATATGGAAACTTGCACATCAAAACCCTTTTCCCCGTTGATTTGAATACAGAATCTGATTTTGCATTTGCCCAACGCCCACTTGCATTTTTTACATTGGATTTCCCGGCTCCAATTTCACGTCCATTTTCAACTTTTTCAGCCATCCCTCTTCATTTGCATCGCTTTTGTCGTCTGATCGTGAAAATGCTCCCCTAAATCATCTCCTTTCCAATGGCCTCTCTTTGGCCATTTACCATGCGCTATCTTCCTAAACCTCGGCCAGTGAAAGCAGTTGTTTGCGCCTTCTCTGTGGCTATTGCCATTTGCATCTATAGCACATATCCTTTCCCCATATTCTTTTTTCGGCCCACCCTCGATGAATCACTTTTACTCACTAAATACCAATACCCCTCCTTGAATCCGGATCTCTATCCTCTAAAACCGCTCAAGAGCGAGTGCAATGCACATAATCTTACAACAGCCTCAGCTGTTCCAAGTTTTCCGCCCATCGAGCCCTCTGAAATCAACGAAGTCACTCCATCTACTGTTCTCCTGATTACTGCTTCAAAGGGCAATAGATATTGGATCACCATTATGGAACACCTCCTGGTTCCCTATGAAGTGCTCTATCTGAGTGAGATACCAAGACCGACTACTTCTCCTCTTCTTGACCGTCTCGAACGACCGGATTCACTGCCTATCGGATTAATCATCTTCGAGGATTTCGCGGCTTACATTGCTCTTCCACTGTGGCAACGACATGCCTTGGACGACTATTGCCGAGCTAATAAAATCGGAGTAATTGGATTCCTAAAGGATGGTCAATCGTTTTCCACTGAGCCCGGTTCACTCTCCCGTGTGAGTTTATGCTACTTGTTAGTTCAATCTGCTTCTTAAGATGCATCCTTGAAATCATTGTCTGCTACGATTTGTTTCGTTGTCTATCCTTGGATACTCTTATCATTCAACGGCCTAATATGTGACGAATCCATTATGTCTTCCTTTCAGGTTGGTACTTTGCCCCTTTACCTTCATCGGCTTTTAACCCACCCATGGGGCCTTTTTGTGGCGAACAATGTTTCCATGTTACGGATCACACGCGGTGGTCGTATGCGACCCGGTCCACTGTTGTTTCCTGACCCGCCCATCAAGGGAACTGCTCCAGTTTGTTGTCAGGCTACCTTGGTCCCCTGGCCTGGCCTTGAGAGATATTTCGTTCCGTTGGTATTCACTAGGATCGAAGTTAAATCCGGACATCCTGCGATGACATCGTCGTGTGTAGTAAGTTGCTTCTTCCATTGCTGTCCTTTTCAATGCACTTAGACTGGATGTTACTCTGGATACAAAGTATGCAACTTTATTTGATTTGTTCAGCTCTGTTATTGTGCTGCGTACTTTGTATCAATATTGCGTGTTTATTTTTCTCCGAATTCTATGTTGGTTGCTTGATATCCCCAGTATGGCTGCGTTTGTTGGGAATGTTGCCAAGGTTGCTACCTGTCTATCACCGTCCACCTCGATTACTGGCTCAAGCGGACCGAATCGTTGTTGAGATGAACGGGGTGCACGGTTTTCGTGGCCGTGCTAGGCTCGAAGAGTGGTTCCATCCAATGTGGCGCGGACTACGGCCCAGCCACTGTCTTGTGTATATCTGGTACGCACGATGCCGTACATAGATAGACGGGAACGCTGCTGCTGTGCATGTTGAAGGAGTGCGGGCGGGCTCCGTTAATGAAACGTGGCACCCATCCACATGCCTCCCTGCTTCGGGTTTACACTGGATATGGGGTGTGTGGATGGAGCTGTGGGTGGTGCAGCGCAAGCCACCCATGGTCCGTCCGTCTGTAGTGCAGGTGTCCTGTGGCTGGCCACAGTGACAGGCAAATCCGAAAGCGGACGCCACCAACCATGTATGTATGTGTGCCGCATGCTGAGACTGATGTAGCATTCATGATGCTTCTTCACCGCAGTTGAGCTAAACCAACTTACACTTAAACTAGGTCTTCTTAATGTGGATAAAATTCATTACATTTTATTTGGTTTGTTCTGCGTACTTGCTAATTTTCTCCCAACTTGCACACGTCGCTCATGCAAATTGTGGTAAACTTGCTTAATTGTATCGCGTGGTATTTTTTTATATAACTCGGACATTTTGTACTTATCACGGATTCACTTATAACCAATTTCTTATATATGCTCATTTAGCGAGTACTTATGTCTTTATATGCATTTACTTCATTCGATCTCGGCATTTTGAATGATTGGCTGTTGTTTGACATCCTAGGTGTGGTTGCGCTTGATTTGCATGTTGACAAGATGCCTACCTGTGTATCACCCACTATCTCGTCCATCTGGCTCCAGGAGACAGTTGGTCGTTGCTGGAGGGGACGGCGTGCACGGTCCTTGTGGTCGTGTTAGGCTCAAAGAGCGGTTCCATGCACTCAGTGTGGAGCGGACTACGGTCCAGCCACCGCCTTGTGTGCACTTGATTCCCCAAATACAGCGTGCTTGTGTTTGTCTGTGAAGGAGTGTGGGCCGACTCCGTTGATGAAACGTGGCTCCCATCCGCATGCCTCCCGGTCGTATTCCTTCGGGTTTACACTGGATATAGGGTGTGTGGATGGAGCTGTGTGTGGTGCAGCGCAAGCCATCCATGGTCCCTCTGTAGGCGCAGGCGTCCTGTGGCTGGCCACAGTGAGAGGCAAATCCGAAACCGGATGCCGCCAACCATATATATATGGTTGGCGGTGGCTGGACCGTAGTCCGCTCCACACTGAGTGCATGGAACCGCTCTTTGAGCCTAACACGGCCACAAGAACCGTGCACCCCGTCCCCTCCAGCAACGACCAACTGTCTCCTGGAGCCAGTATGAACGATGTAGTGGGTAATAGACAGGTAGGCACCTTGTCAACATACACATCAAGCGCAACCATACCAGGGATATCAAACAACAGCCATTCACTTTAAACGACAAGCTGAAATAAAATAAATCCAATAATGCATACAGATACGGTGGCATAACTCTTCGCTAAATTACCATATGAAGTAATTTGGTTAGCAACAAATCCGTGATAAGTAAGAAATGTCCACAAGTTACTTAAAGTGCTACAAACGCAACAACCATATATATATATATATATATATATATATATATATATATATATATATATAGTTGACAGTCACAACACATGGGAAACGGCAAGGAAACAAGGGGAGGAAAAGTAGTCAGGGTAAAAGAGTGTCACAATGCCTTCTCCATTGGGTGCGATTCCAGACCATGTTCGGTTACGTTTCCAATCAGGTGTGCTCGCTATAAACAAAGCGCGGCAGGGAAACCGTTGAGTAGGCATACGGAGGGCGTGCGTGAGTCACCGGAGCGCACGCAAGGAATTATGCTGCTCTCTAGTCGTCGGAGACTGTCTCACTTGAAGATCTGATGTTGAACGTCATCATTGCTAATGCGATACTGCCAACGCCCACGAACGATGCTCCGGATACAGCGGTGCTTGAAAACAGACAGTCTGGACATTGCTTGCTCGAACGGTCCAGGTCTCGCAGCCATACAGGATCACTGCTCGTACTGTGGACTCGAGCTTTTATAGAAAGACCGAAATTATGCCGGCGCCAAAGTTTTCTGAGGTTAACAAAGGCTACTCTGACTTTGGTAATATGTAGATAAATCTCATCCGTTAGTCCGCTCACGCTGATTCAACTCTTAAACGTACTTGTCGACTAATTCCAAAGAAGAGCCGGGGAGGATGTGGGTAAGCGTAGCTTTTGATCGGTCCTGGCAGAAGACCTTGCGTTTTGAAAGGGTAAAAGTCATTCCGAACTGTGATCCGGACATCTCCAACATGCGCAGCGTGTTCTGGTTAGTCTGCGAAGAGTCACAAATTACAACAATGTCGTCAGCATAGTCCAAATCAGGGAACCGATCGCCCGGGTTTAGCTGGACGCCACCATACCCACAGTTTCCAAATGCACTCTCTAGGATATCATCCATAGCGAAGTTGAATTGGAAGCGTGATGCGGGATGACCCTTTTTCGAGGCACTAGTGATACTGAAGAGGGTTGAAAGCCCACCGTGCACCCGCACCGGGCCCGTAGTTCGAGAATAAATGATTTTCAGTATGTTAACGTGCTTCACGGGCATGTTAAATCTTCAGAAGACAACCCCAGAGTGCAGCTCTGTCAACTGAATCAAATGCGGCGCGTATGTCCAGAAAGCAAACCATGCTAGACCGGCTACAAGCTCGACGGTGCTCGAGCGTCTGGCGGATAGTAAACATGTGATCAATACAACCCTTACCTATTCGAAACCTAGCCTGCTCTTGTATATGCCGTTCGCCTACTCGGCTGAGCTTCCGTAAAAGTAGGGAGGCTAGCATTTTGGACGCGACGCTGTCTGCGTAGTTTAGGCAATCCGTTCTGTCACCTCTTTTGAGGATGAAGACAAAATCCGCTAAGCCCTAATCGGATGGGATGATTTCTTTGACCCGAAACTCTTGACGAAGGGTAGTCAAATCAGAAAGGAAAGAGAGGCCTCCATGTCTGAAATAAGCCGGTAATTCGTCGGGTCGGTTTCAGGAGACATAGCTTATAGGCAACTTCGACCTCAGATGGCAGAGAGATGTTTACACACCAGGGAACACCATGGATACAACGATAGCCACTCGATGACACTTGTGGCCAGTTAAAGTGCTGTTCGAAGTGCTATACCCAACGTACAAATCGGCGCTGGTGATTGAATTGGTTCAACTCTAATTTTACTTACCACTTCGCTTACAGTTGGTTTCTTGCCACCCGTAAGTCGAATAAGGGAGAAAAGTCTGAGGAAGCTCCCTGAGGATGCAGTATGTTCACTCTCGATGACACGCTGTATCCACCAAGCGTCGCGATCTTTTCTGAGTTACTGTTTTTGCTCGGCGTTGGTAGCTCTGCACAGCAGAAATTGTTCGGCGATGTTCCATCAGTTGGAAAATTGAGCGGAAATCCGTCGGTTGAAGGTGTGCTTAGCGAAACCGCAGATAACGCTGGTATACTTCGCACGTGCCTAATCCGACGTAATTTATTCATTGCTATCTAACGCTATTTGATGTATAGGGGAGGTATCCTCTACCCCCGATAGTTAGTGCTCATTTCCGTTGGGGGGTAATCGTCCCACAGTTACTCTCATTCCTTTTACTTCCAAACCGCTTATCTGCTTGATGCTGTGGTTGTTAATTCGGTCTTGTTAGAGACAGATAAGCGAAAGCCATGCTAGTCCGTTATCTTAGTGTAGGATGCGTTGACCATATATCCACATTTCATCAAACAAAATAAAAACAGCAGTACATCAACCATTTTAAGTGATGCTTTGCTGCCACACAACCACACGGACCTAGGCAATGAAGAATAATAAAAGGGTAAGCATGGGGTTTAATGTAGAATCTAAATGCCCTAAGCATACATTCAGCGTCAGAGTGCCCCCAATTTGCCAACGACAAACTGTCACAAACAGCTGGCTGTCATGCAAAATTAGGCGGCATCAGCGAAACAGCTTTTTTGTGGCTTTCACTGCCACGCGTCATAATCAGCCATTACCCAGCAGATAACTCAGCACCAAACACATGTTAAATAAGCAGTCCGACTAGGAGACGACATCAGACGCGCCACTGGTTTCGACTGCGAGCCGTGTCTTGTAAAGTCTCGAGCCGTGCACAACGCAGGTCACGTAGATTCCACCCTGGAAGGCAAGACGTACAGACGGCACTGAGTTTGGTCGTCAATGACTTCATTTCCCGCTGCCAAGTTAACTTTTATCCACCTCGCGCCTTGCGCCACCCTACAACTGGCAAACAAAACAACGCACTCCTCGGTAAGCGGTGACCGGGCATACGTAGTACGTGCCCAAGCCAACGCAACTTATTCAGTGCTATCTGTTGTTCTAAGGAGCTAGCTTGGGTATCCTTACCTAGCACTCGCCTACGCAGGTCATCGTTGCGGACACGCTGGTGCCATCCGACACAATCAGTGTTTCGCAATCAATTATGATCAGCAACTTGAAGGCGCCGCAGGCCTTCAGGTCGAACGGGCCAATTCTGTTTGCCATACGATAGGACGGCTCTCACTGTGACCTTGTACACGCGGCATTTCAGGCCGAAAGAACCCTTTTCCGACGTACTACATGTCGCATGTCTAAGAACACGGTTCTGGCTTTCACAATATGTGGACTAATAAAATTTATTTTTGACAATTTGTGTACTGCGCTCAAGCTTGGGTCTACACCAATTTTACTGGTT